CAAAGAGATATCCAACTAAGGAAGGAGAAAACTCAAAAAAAAAAAAAACATTCTAGCTAAATGAGTTAGGAAAAATCACAATCAAAAGCACTGTAAGCTGAAAAAGCAGAGAGATACATGATGGCAGTGAAAAGCGGTGTGGGAAAGTGAACGAAACTCCGGGACGTAAAATAGTGTGAAAAAAATGTGTGAGGAAAATGACACTAACATAAAAAAAATGGCAAAAGAGGGAAATCATATCGAGAAAAAAAAAGTCATAAAGTACACTTTTCTTAGTGCCTTCACGTGGCGTTAATATAAGGCCACAACACTAAAATGCAAAAGTATTCAATATATTTTCACAAAAGCACTACAAGTAACAGCCTGACGATACAAAAATCAACAAAAAACACGTAGGAAAGCACAACACAAAAGTAACCTAGGTTGTGGCGCATTCGCTTTGCCGGCGTAAGCGCACGTTTCCCACACAGTTTTCCCATAGACGTCTGCCGCTAAGTGGCGCTGTTTTTCTCGGCGGATAGTTCTAGCTACAGAAAGAGAAAAGTCTTCACGCTGTCACAATTATCATAAGGATCCCTAGTTAACAAGACTGCGGATCATGCTTAAATTTCAGCAGTCTAGCTGCTTTTGTTACGAAGTTATGTCAAGCTTCACTTATTTGCACACGATACGATATGTGACATAAAACGCATCTGAGAGTTCCTTCCATGTGCATTTGCCCAAAAACGGACCTGAGCTATGCTCAGAAAATTTCAACTGTAGCTGCTTTGGCTGAGGAGCTACGTTAAATTTCACGTGTTTACAAGTGAGACGTACGGGAAACATAAAAGAGACTTGAAAACTGTTTTCAAATTCAGCTATCCAAAAACGGCCATTGGCTATGCTCGAAATCTGAGCCCTCTAGCTCCACAAAGTTCCAAAACTGCATGCATCAAATTTCACGTACTCATGCATAAGATGCAGGGAGGCGCTAAAGCTCTATGTACTTTCATGAGCACATCAATGGACGGTAGACAAAGTCATAAAATCAAACTATCTTTTTGATGGAAATCTCGTGCTGGCATGGTGCCGTTTGAACTCTGACGTGTACCTAGGCATATGTGAAGATTGGACTTAATTTATTTGGGTGGTACGTGCGCAAAGAACGTCCTCGCAATTTCAGCCATGTAGTTTGCTTGGTCGCCGAAATCGCTTCCCCCCGCGTCCGTATATGAGAGCAAGGAGGAAGCGAACGCTCAATTTACGCCCAGAGTTCAGTATCTAGGTGTAGAATAAGTTGCCAAAGTTTCAGCTTCGTAGCCTTCGTAGATCTGGGAGTCGGAATATGCAGATACACACACACACGCA